ATGTCACTTCAAAATTAAAATAATATCTAAATGTTATAAGTCTTGAAATCAAAATAGTTATCTAAAAAACACTTAGTAATTAAAATATCCTTTCTAATTATAAAAACAACTCCTACTTAAGGTTAAAATAAAGGTTCATATAGACTTCCCATGTGAAGTTTTCTTATTTGTAGATAAGATGTGGCATCTTAAGACCTAAATAAAAAAAATAAATTATATCTTTTATTTTCTTAATCATCAAATAGAGCTTACTAATTTCATTTCATGTAATATAAACAACAAAAAAACATCAACATTATTATTCATCCAATATTTATGCATTAGTGCAAAATTATATATATATATATATATATATCATATATAATTATCATAATATATAAATATATCTAGCATGCTTATTAATATATATGTATAATGTCAAAATGTATGTTATGTTTAATGAATAATAACCATATATATGCCAAATATTTTATATCCATATTTTGTACCTTAGCTCCTGATCATTTTGTACCCAGTCTTTCTCTACCTATTTCAAATGAAATATTATATATGAAAAATTAACTAATAAAATTTTAATATAAAATAGTCAAAATATTTAGAATAATTGTACCTATCACGTACCAAAGGTTGCATGGAAAATTTGTTAAAATAGGAGATATCATTTTTTTTATCAATTTTAAGAGAGAGAAAATGAACTAAGCTTAAAATCATAAAAAATAGATTTAGAGTAGATGTAAATTATAATGGTTAGAATAATTTTTGTTAAAAGGCTTTAGATTTGGTTCCATTTTCTACATGAAGAGGGGTTTGAGAACTAAAAGAGCTAATTAAATTCTATTGCATTTTTCGATGATGAGTACTAATGAACACAAGTAGCAACACATCCACAATCATCAGACTTCCATCATTTGACTTAATATCTAACAAAATTGTTGGGTTTTTAACTTGTATCCCGATAATATGAATTAGAAAATTATTATTAATTATGTATAACCCAATCTTTTCAATTATAAAAATGGATGATTCTTATATGTTTCATTATTTAATATATTCATTCTACTTTATCAAACCTCGTAATATTATTGATGCAAAATTTTTACCATGTTAAAAATTTATATCGATAAAAAAAAAAAAAATCAAACATGCTATCCTCAAAATTTTCCCCAATAAATTTTGGAGAGTTTTTTTTTCTTCCCACAGAGGGGCTTACACATTAATAACAAAAATCGGTTACATTGTCCTTAGAAGGTTCCTCCAGCTCTCTACTGCTCATAAGAGCTACACGATAAAAAAGAAAAAAACAAAGTCCTACAAGCCGGTGGATCCTTTTCCTATGATTACAAAAATAACTGAAGCAAATATACAGGCTGTGAGTAGACAGCACCCAAAAGAGGAGAAGCGAAATATTCCCATTCAGCACAACTCTCCTACAAAAAAGAATACGAAACACAAAAGGAAATGCAAAAACCATAAAGAGTATACCTTGCGGACAATCAAGCTTAAATCAAGAAACTTGGTAACATACCTGCAAGGAATAATCCAAAACACCATGAGATTATCAAAAAATTTAATAATAGCTTTAAGCCCCTCAATATCTCTAATATACTAGGAATTCTTGCAGTCAAATAACCCCACCAATACATCCATCAGGCACACCCTATTCCCCTTCATAAAATAGATAGGACCATAAGCCTCCAAACCAATCCGATGCCACCAGAACCCAAAATTACCCTTATTATCCAAAATAAAATCCATACCATGACCGAGAATGTACCCAGAAATAAAAATACTAGTCATCCCGGTGGAAACACTTAACAGCTCAAGTCACACATATTTCTTATAAGTAAATTGCAATTTAGAAAAAAGTAATTAATTCAAATTAGAACAAAAAAACATTTGAAAAAGAGAGCGTCATTCAACTTTTTTCTTTAGGTCATTTAGGTTAATTAAGATAAACTCACACAAACACATCACATATGCAAGACTTGAACCCAAGACATCTTGATTAATAGTCACAGCTCCCAACTAACAAACCAAAATAAGCTATGCACACCCTCCTATGATAACCTGAATATATTGGCATCACCAAGCTTCCTCTGAAGATGAGGTTCCTATGAATGAATAGGAAGATGATCATTTTGATTTATTAATTGAAATGACTTTCTTATTGCTTTGAAAAATTATTATTGTGATAATATTTTTTTAAAGTTGTTATATAAAATAATATCAAATAAAATTTTTTTTCACTATCAACTAAGAGATTTTGAATTCAAGTCTAACATATGTGATGTGTAGGTGTTTATCTTAATTATTCTAAATATTCTAAAAAAAAGTTTAAAAAAATGATTGTACAAATTTAAAGAAATATTAATAATACCCACAAATTTAAAGAAAATAATTTCTCCGAATAAGGACAGCTCTAAACAGATGCTAAAGTTATAATTTATTGTTCTACATAAAAGAAAATCTATTGAGAAAATTGTGACGTTGAGCAAATTAAAATAAAAAAACCATTGTGCTCAAATCGTCAACGGCTATAAAGCCTTCACCATGTCCTTTCAATCAATACAACTTCCACGGTTAATCTCATCTTCAATACAGCTGCTTATGCTCACGCTACTTTCCTCACATCCACTCCATCGAAGAATCCGATTCTTTTTTCTTTTCTTACTATTCTCCATCTCTTCTCTCTCCCCTAAATCTTACCTTACAAGTTCTAATACCAAACCAAACATACGGTTACATATATATAAGACTAGAAAGTTCAGATCTTACCATTCTCTCATCAGTTTGATAGCTTAATTGGGAGCTTCATGTCTGCCCAGCAGCTTCCCCCCGGCCGCCCTTGGTTCCGCCTCGCCTCTCTTGCTCGAACAGAAGCTGCCTCCGCTTCTGCGGCTTCAAATAATCCTCCACCACCACTCCCGAGAATCCCTGTCCCAAGATTGCAGCAACAACCGCCGCCTGCTACACTATTAGCTGCACCTGATCAACCTCCACCACTTCAGGTATAGCCTTTACAATCGTCGAAATTTTTTTTTATGTGAACCTTCATATTAATATTAATTATATAATAGTTTATAATTTTACGTCTGTTAGATCTTTATCAAATTAAGGAGAGTACGTAATCTTAAATTTTTTATGCATCTCGTAGAGGGTCATATTAGAGAGCCTTTTCGACACCTTTTTTTTTTTTTAAAGAAATTATAATGATTCTGTTTAGCAGTTTAGTCATAACGTTTTCGCCGTGTTTTAAAAGTTTTTGCAATTAGAATAATTATTTACAATCAAATATGTGATATCCGTAAGAAAAATTGTCTATTTAAAAAAAAATTATTTACAACAAATTTTAAATTTGCTATTTATACTATATTATTTATAGTAGGGATCAAATGGGTTGTTAAGAAGTCAGCCATGGTTAGACTTTTCACAGCACGCAAGAACAGAAAAATTATACCAGAAAAAAATAATAGACCATTTTGTTAAATATCTGGATAATATTAGATATCTCATAAGATATTTTCAAAAATTTGCTCTTGAAATAATATTTTCATTAATTTCTTTATGTGCTTTGACATGAGATTTTTTATTTCTAACACCCTTAACTTGCAGACTTCTCTGCAGCCACCACCGCCACCGGATTCTCCCAAAGTCATCAGCCCTTCGTACTCCACCCCTCCCCCTTCAATTGGTCAGAAGCCCAATCCAGAGCCAGAGCAACCCAAAAATAATACTGTGCCAGAACAGGGCAAGATTCTCAATGGCAAAGAGAGAAATAAAATCAATGGGAAGGCAAAGGAAGAGGAAGAGAAAAGACTCATCACTATAGCTGGAAAGAACATTGGAGCCAAAATGGAATTTGGCTTGGGTTCCATGTCTGAGGAGAGGAATAATGGTGAGGAGAAGGCAGAAGATCTGACAGTGAGGCAGGCGAAGCAAAAGAGATTGGTGGTGAATAGTAATGTGCAGAGCATTAATAATTCTATAGTGTTGAACGCTACCTGTAAACAGCATAGTCCTGGCGTTCACGTTAACTTTGCTAGAGCTCGCCAGCTCAAAGGAAGCCAAGCCAACGAGAAGTACAGGTCTATAGATGAGTAAATAGAGGAGAGGAGATTCACTCAACGAAGTCATTCTCATATTCTCTCTCTCTCTTTCTCTCTCTCTCTCTCCTCTCTCTATGAGATTTACTTGCATATTATAAAATTCTATGTATTTATAAATTGGAGATATAAATTTTAATATTTAATTTATAACATTATAATATCCAAAATCAAATTAAAATATATGTAGGAGAAGATATATTTCGTTTTAGATGATTTTTTTTTTTGTTTTGCTTCCTTTATATAATATAATTCTTGAGATATGTTTTTTATGTGATTTAGACAAACAAGAACATAATAATTTAGATGTCAAATATATAATTATATAAAATTCTTGTGTTATATATGAATGTAAATTCTCTATATGCATATCAAGTAATAAAAACTTATAAGAAGTTTCTCACATTAAATGGGCAATAGAGCTATGCATTCAAAAAATCACAGAATATTTTGAATGCTAAAATTTGTTTGCATGAAAAAAAACAGGATATCTTTTATTATTACTATAAAATAATATTCAGAGTTTTGCTTTTTTTTAAAATAAAATTTTATGCCTTGTAGTTTCTTTTTGCCGAATGTTTATGTTTTCTGAGTGAATGTCTAACACTTTTTGTATTTTCGAGTAAAGAGCTACTCATATAATATATTTTTTAATATCTATGAGAATATGCTGAGTTTAGATGAGCCGATTATGTTTAGGTGAGTTATTTTTTTAGGACAGCTTTCTTATTGCTTTCTAAAACAATTTTGAAGCATAAAAATTTATAGTTTAAAAATTTTTTGTACTTAAAAGATACTATAGAAAGTAGTAAGAAAGCTATCTCAAATGAAGCCTTAATGAATTTGTTATATTCTTGTAAATAAAATAAAAAATATGAAATGACGATCCAATAATCTGTTATATTTTGGTTGATTAAAGCAATGATAATAAGCGAAATTATGATATGATAATTCCTTTAAAAAATGGGATTTATCAGTGATTTTGATAGGCTTTTTAGTAATGCTACTCACTGAAACAAATAAATTTGCAGTAATTTTTAAACAACAGCAAAATTGCTGTAATTATCATCCATTAGAATTTTTTTCGGCAACATTCTGTAGCCACCGGAGAAATAAAACTGCAAAGGTTCAGATTTGAGTACAATTACAAGAATTATCATTATACAATTAATTATGAATAAAATAGATTTAATTTTAATAATTATGTATATTAAATGTTTTTTTAATTAAAAATATATTTTTCATTTCTGTCTCTGAAAAATCATAAAAATCTGAACCAACCCAATAAATTTTTAATTATTTAAACTGAAAATAAAAATAAAAATAAAATCAAAACATGAACTTAAAATCCAAGTTTCATCGGATCGTTGCAGCTAATATAGTTGCTTTTAGCATGATTGAACTATACTATATGTTGCTGATGCTAAATTATTTAGACTTTATTTGGGATAACTTTTAATTAATATTTTTTTATGGCTTTCAATAAGTTTTTTAACTAAACCAATTAATTTAGAAAGCATTAAGAAAATTATTCTAAATGAAGTTTTAAACGAATTGCATATCTTAGGATGATATAAAATCCAACTATATTTATTCAATACATCATATTTATTTCAAAACAATGATGATTAAAATTTGATCAGTTAATATAATCTTCAAATTATTATAATTATAAAGATAAATAAAACATAAAATTTATCTTAGATTATCAAGATATAAATTATATTAGGATGAAATTAAATACAACTAGCTTTAATTTTAAATTAATGTAAGACACAAATTTTATATGCTGGACTGATCTTAAAATAAATCAATTGATTCTTAAGTTTATCATGATATATATAAGCATCCCCCGACGTAATTTTTTTTCCATTGGCTTTGTTTTGTAAGATAAATAAAAGGAATACACTAATTAAATTTTTTTAAAAAATAATTAATCTCGAAGTTATTTAATTTATTTCAAGATAAATAAAATTTCTAAATAAATTGAAATAATTATATTAAATAAAGCAAACAAACAAATAGTTATATTGAAAAAAACATATTTATTACCTCAATTTCCTTTAAACCAAACACAACCTTAAACATCACAATAAACTTATAGTAGAAGAAGGATGAGAAGAACCATCAAATTCTCTACACAAAATCCCAACCAAAAAAAAAAAACAACAACACACTCTCACTCAACCACACCAGCAGACATTATCAGGTGGGAATATGTACGTAATTTTACATTTAGACGAAAATTAAGACTTCCGGATAACTTTCATATTGCTTCTTAAGATAATTTTTTTAATACAAAAGTTTATTTTTTGTACTGAAAAGTTGCCTTAAGAAGCACTTAAAAAGCCATGCAAATGAAGCCTAAGACGTATCAGATAGAGTAATAAACATAGTTGTTACAACTATGTACTGCACATAATTGGATAGATGTGCCATTATCCAATTATGTAATCCAATCAGGTGGTGAAGTGCACAACTACGTCACAAAATTGAGTACAACTATGCACGTACTCCATCTGATTGATCGTCTGTATATAAAATCTCATATATAATCCACACTCTTATTCAATCTGATGAAAAACTACTAAGTGCAGACTACGCAAATAGTTATACGTGTTAACGAAAAATCAAGTATAAGTACAGAACTACGTACTCTACCTGATTGATCGCTTGCATGTAATTATATTCGTAATCCGCACTTAATAAAAAATTCTCAAAAGAAGTAGGACGAAGATGAGCCGCCGAGCTGGTAATCATCGACAGAAATATTAGAGTACTCACTCGCCTCCGGCATCGGACCAAAAAGAGAGCTATCTAAATACCCCTCATCGAAAAAACTAATCTCCTCCTCCACCGTCCCAAAACCGCTAAATTCCCCTGAATCCAATAATGCTCCTTCGTTGCTGAAACAATCATGTGAACCTGGAACAACAATATTACTCTCCTCTTCCACAACAGCCGGTAACTGCTGATGGCTGGGAAGAAAAGTGACAGATGGAAGCAGTTGGGGTGGCGCAGGAGACATTGTAAAGAAAGGTTGAGGGGAAGGAAGGTCCGGTGATAGAAACGGGGTTAGAGAGGAGCCTAGTGGGAGGTCTGGATAAGCGAAGTTTGTGCGGGCGCGAGGGCCGCGGAGAGAGCGTGCGGCGCGGTCGTAGGCCACGGCGGCTTCTTCGGCCGTGTCGAAGGTGCCAAGCCAGTGCCTTTCTTTAGTAGCAGGGTCGCGTATCTCCGAAGCGTAACGGCCCCATGGGCGCCGCCGCACGCCGAGATATCTTTGATTGGTGGTTTGGTGAAGGAGATTTTGTGTTGGGTTGGGTTGGGAAGGAGAGGAGTGGGAGGAGAAGAGATGGGAGAGATCCATTGCCGGGATTAAAAGGTGGAGCTTTGGATTTATGAATTAATGAAACTATTATGTATTTATAAAACTAACATCTAAATTTTTCTATTTATTTATACCACACTTTAATTCTCTATCACATTAAAATTTATGCATGAAAATATGCATTTGATTTTGAAAAAAGTTAGTTTTATGATTTTTTATATGATTTAATTGTTTAGCTATTATATAAATAAATATACAAATTTAGGTTTTTGACATATAAATTTATGAGAATTTTATAGTATGTATGTAAATGTCCTATGAAAAAATTTATGAATAAAATTGTTAAGGATGGGTTTCAAACTCTTATTTATTTTGAGATAGGTGCAAAATATGATTAATATGTTAAGCTCATTCACTCTAAAAATTTGGTGATGATATTATGGACCACTTTTTTCTTAAGAATTTCTTTAGGTAGTTTTTGCAATGGCAACATGTGCTTGAAAAAAATTGGAAATTTTTTTGTTATGAAAGAATATTCTTTGATTTTTATAGTGTTTGATGATGTAGAACAATCATTATGGGACGCTAGCAAGGCATGCAACTACCAAAAGTAGCTCAATGCATGCATATGCCATAATCAAATATTTTCCAAATATGAGGAGTTGGAAAATATTAAGTATAAAATTAAGAACATATGAAGAATCTATTCATCTTTTTTTCGCGAGCGCCGCTCTGGCGATTTAGGGTTTCCG